GGAGAAACATCACTATCTCATTTGGAAGATCAACTCCCACTTGATTCAAATGATTGTTGTACTCAGACAATATGAGCACAAGCTCAACAATTGAGCTTTTCTCCTTAGTTTGCAGGCTAAGAAAATCGTCGGAGGTCTCATACCTCTTGACGTGGGCACGAGTCTGAAATCCCAATTTCAGTCCTTGGAACATCTCATATGTTCTGCGATGTTTCAAAAACGTCTTTGGTGCCTCAATTTTAAACCATTTAGCATTACGCACTGAACTATCATGTAGTCATCAAAACGTGTATGTCAGATGTTCGCAACATCCACAGACGACGTTCGAGGTTCAGCACACTGAGTGGTGCATTAAGGACATAAGCCTTCTATGAAGCAATGAGGACAATCCTCAGTTTACGGACCTAGTCCGCATAATTGCTACTATCAACTTTCAACTAATTTTTTAGGAACATATCTAAACAGTAGAACTATAGCGTGAGCTACGACATAATTTGCAAAATCCTTTTGACTATGTTCAGGATAATTAAGTTCATCTTATAAACTCCCACTCAGATAGACATCCCTTTAGTCATCTAAGTGATTACATGATCCGAGTCAACTAGGCCGTGTCCGATCATCACGTGAGACGGACTAGTCAACGTCAGTGAACATCTTCATGTTGATCGTATCTACCATACGACTCATGCTCGACCTTTCGGTCTTCTGTGTTTCGAGGTCATGTCTATACACATTCTAGGCTCGTCAAGTCAACCTAAGTGTTTGCATGTGTAAATCTGTCTTACACCTGTTGTATGTGAACGTTTGGATCAAACACCCGATCATCACATGGTGCATTGAAACAACGAACTGTCACAACGGTGCACAGTTAGGGGGAACACTTTCTTGAAATTTTAATGAGGGATCATCTTATTTACTACCGTCGTTCTAAGGAAATAAGATGTATAAACATGATAAACATCACATGCAATCAAATAGTGACATGATATGGCCAATATCATATAGCTCCTTTTGATCTCCATCATCGGGGCTCCATGATCATCTTGTCACCGGCATGACACCATGATCTCCATCATCATGATCTCCATCATTGTGTCTCCATGAAGTTGTCTCGCCAACTTATTACTTCTACTACTACAGCTAACGGTTAGCAATAAAGTAAAGTAATTACATGACGTTTATGTTGACACGCAGGTCATAAATAAATTAAGACAACTCCTATGGCTCCTGCCGGTTGTCATACTCATCGACATGCAAGTCGTGATTCCTATTACAAGAACATGATCAATCTCATACATCACATATATCATTCATCACATCCTTTTGGCCATATCACATCACATAGCATACCCTGCAAAAACAAGTTAGACGTCCTCTAATTGTTGTTTGCATGTTTTACGTGGCTGCTATGGGTTTCTAGCAAGAACGTTTCTTACCTACGCAAAACCACAACGTGATATGCCAATTGCTATTTACCCTTCATAAGGACCCTTTTCATCGAATCCGACCCGACTAAAGCGGGAGAGACAGACACCCGCCAGCCACCTTATGCAACTAGTGCATGTTTGTCGGTGGAACCGGTCTCACGTAAGCATACGTGTAAGGTTGGTCCGGGCCGCTTCATCCCACAATACCGTCGAATCAAGATAAGACTAGTAACGGCAAGCATATTGAACAAAATCAACGCCCACAACTTCTTTGTGTTCTACTCGTGCATAGTAACTACGCATAGACCTAGCTCATGATGCCATTGTTGGGGAACGTAGCATAAATTCAAAATTTTCTTACGTGTCACCAAGATCTATCTATAGAGTCATCTAGCAACGAGGAAGGAGTGGATCTACATACCCTTGTAGATCGCGCGCGGAAGCGTTCAAGAGAACGGGGTTGATGGAGTCGTACTCGTTGTGATAAAAATCACCGATGATCCTAGCGCCGAACGGACGGCACCTCCGCGTTCAACACACGTACGGAGCAGCGACGTCTCCTCCTTCTTCATCCAGCAAGGGGGGAGGAGAGGTTGATGGAGATCCAGCAACACGACGGTGTGGTGGAAGTAGCGGGATTCCAACAGGGCTTCGCCAAGCGCTGCGGGAGGAGGGAGATGTGTCATGGGAGGGAGAGGGAGGCGCCAGGGCTTGGGTATGGTTTCCCTTCCTTCCCCCCACTATATATAGGGCCAAGGGAGAGGGGGAGGGCGCAGCCTTGCCCCTTCCTCCAAGGAAGGGTGCGGCCAAGGGGGGGAGGAGTCCATCCTCCCCAAGGCACCTCGGAGGTGCCTTCCCCCTTTAGGACTCTCCCCTCCTCTTGTCCCTTTGGCGCATGGGCCTCTTGGGGCTGGTGCCCTTGGCCCATATAGGCCAAGGCGCACCCCCTACAGCCCATGTGGCCCCCCGGGGCAGGTGGCCCCACCCGGTGGACCCTCGGGACCCTTCCGGTGGTCCCGGTACAATACCGATGACCCCGGAACTTGTTTCGATGGCCGAAATAGCACTTCCTATATATAATTCTTTACCTCTGAACCATTCCGGAACTCCTCGTGACGTCCGGGATCTCATCCGGGACTCCGAACAACTTTCGGGTTACCGCATACTAATATCTCTATAACCCTAGCGTCACTGAACCTTAAGTGTGTAGACCCTACGGGTTCGGGAACCATGCAGACATGACCGAGATGACTCTCCGGTCAATAACCAACAGCGGGATCTGGATACCCATTTTGGCTCCCACATGTTCCACGATGATCTCATCGGATGAACCACGATGTCAAGGACTTAATCAATCCCGCATACAATTCCCTTTGTCTATCGGTATGTTACTTCCCCGAGATTAGATCGTCGGTATCCCGATACCTTGTTCAATCTCGTTACCGGCAAGTCTCTTTACTCGTTCCGTAACACATCATCCCGTGATCAACTCCTAGATCACATTGTGCACATTATGATGATGTCCTACCGAGTGGGCCCAGAGATACCTCTCCGTTTACACGGAGTGACAAATCCCAGTCTCGATTCGTGCCAACCCAACAGACACTTTCGGAGATACCTGTAGTGTTCCTTTATAGCCACCCAGTTACATTGTGACGTTTGGCACACCCAAAGTATTCCTACGGTATCCGGGAGTTGCACAATCTCATGGTCTAAGGAAATGATACTTGACATTAGAAAAGCTTTAGCGAACGAACTACACGATCCTTGTGCTAGGCTTAGGATTGGGTCTTGTCCATCACATCATTCTCCTAATGATGTGATCCCGTTATCAACGACATCCAATGTCCATGGTCAGGAAACCGTAACCATCTATTGATTAACGAGCTAGTCAACTAGAGGCTTACTAGGGACATGGTGTTGTCTATGTATCCACACATGTATCTGAGTTTCCTATCAATACAATTCTAGCATGGATAATAAACGATTATCATGAACAAGAAAATATAATAATAACTAATTTATTATTGCCTCTAGGGCATATTTCCAACACATGCATCATATCAAAATAAAATTTTAAGCATATTCCTCCAACAGCAACTACTACACATGATGGATCAAATCATATCAACATGCATCATATCAAAAAAATCCTCCAACATACATCATATCATCATATTTTTAAATAAAATTTTCCAAACAACATCTTCATATCATCATATCAACATGCATCATCAAACTAGGGTTCATCTTCACACTAGATCATATCATCATATCAACATGCATCATCAAACTAGGGTTCATCCTCATATCAACATTACATCATAATTTTTTTAACAAAAGAAAATTATGAACTAGGGTTCATCTTCACACTAACATATGAACTATTGATTAGAGTTCATATCCAATACCACTAGTTACTGAAGAACTAAGAACTACAACTACAATCAATCTTAGGTGAAAAAAAAATCCAATCTACGTTCAAAAATATGAGGGATTTCAAGCAAATAATGTGTCGAATCGGAAGCAAGTTTGCAAAAACTAATTGGAGGGATTGGAGGAGCTTACGTTTCTCTCTTCGGGGCCATCTCGATCCGCAAAAACGATCAACAAACGATGAAGATCCGAGAAAGGGAGTGGAGGAGATGAGAGAGAGGAAGAGAGGGGCAACTTGGGGGAGAAAAAGAAGAAATGCCGACGGGGGAGGGGGAGGGGTGGGGAGATGGGCAGGGGCGCGGGGATTTCGGCGGAAATAACTGCCCGGACCCTACCGCCAGGGCCCCTGGCGGTAGGGTTAGACAGGCTACCGCCAGGTGCCCTGGCGGCAGGGTGCGACGGAGAGGGACGGTGGCCGTTTCCGCGTGCTGACGTGGATAAGTACCCTACCGTCAGGGGCCCTGTCGGTAGGCTGTCTACCTCTGACGGTAAGAAAAATGATCAAATCCTGAAAAAAATTCAAATCAGGGTTAGATTTTGAAATTGTTCGTCAAAAGAGTTTCTGAAACTGGGTTCGTCAAAAGAGTCAAAACACAAAATTTTGCCTACGGCCGTGCGCACATATATGCCCATGGCCACGCATGCTCGCACATGTCGTACGTCCCTCCGTAGCCCAGAGCCTTGCATGAGGCACGCCGCGGTACAGCATGGCGAGTCCACGACGCGCAGTCTCCGACCGGCCGCCGAACACCCGAGCATGGCGAGTGCTAGAACCATGATCCTAGCTACGTGCCAACCGGCCGACAGCGCGGGACAACGCACGAGTCGCCAGCATTAGCAGCTCATCCCCACTTCCTCGGACAACCCGTGCACACACATTCGGTGCCCATGCGAGCTACCACGTGTCGTCCCTCCAGAGGCTTGCATGCACGACGCGCGTCGACAGAGCAGGAACGAGGAGAGGTACACGCGCCGGCTCCCGGCCACCCGACGCACCTCCTCGCCGGCTATATAAAGGGGACGCCGATGGCTCCTCCGCCATCAGCATCAGGCAATCACAGAGCACCACGAGCAATCGCATACCAAAACCTACGTCCGCTTACGGTTTCCGTTTAGCTAGCTCCCAGGCAGCGAGCAATGGCTTCCGGTCAGCAGGAGAGGTCGGAGCTGGACCGCATGGCCCGCGAGGGGGAGACCGTCGTCCCCGGCGGCACCGGTGGGAAGAGCCTCGAGGCGCAGGAGCACCTCGCCGACGGTATGCTTCCTCTACTTGCGTTTCGCCTGAGCGATCTGTGACTTCTGGTACTCATTACTGGCGTTGTTGTGTACGCATTTGTGCAGGGCGCAGCCGCGGCGGGGAGACTCGGAAGGAGCAGCTCGGGGAGGAGGGGTACCGCGAGATGGGGCACAAGGGCGGGGAGACTCGCAAGGAGCAGCTCGGGGAGGAGGGGTACCGCGAGATGGGGCGCAAGGGCGGGCTGAGCACCATGGAGGAGTCTGGTGGCGAGCGCGCCGCCAGGGAGGGCATCGAGATCGATGAGTCCAAGTTCAAGACCAAGTCCTAAGTAATGTAGGTCAAGATGTCCCAGTGTCTAGCTGAGTAGCTAGCTAGTAGTGAGCAAGCTGTCTGCTCATGTTTGTAGTAATGAATAATGTAGGTCAAGGTCAGGTCTTGACATGACGAGAGCACGCATGTAGGCGATCGCATGTACTGTGATCATGTGTGCGTTAGGTGTCTTAGCTTGTAGTAGTGACCATGTGTTCTTCAGGTGTCCTAGCTTGTAGTAGGTGTCGTTGTGGCCCGTGAGTCAGCTTGCTAATGTATGTGAGTCGTTGTTAAATCAGGTCGATGTTGAATCAGAACGTGGGCTCTTAAATTGTTTTCTTGAACTGGGTAGAGAGGAACAACTCCCGGCCGTACTGGTACATGAACAAATGGTTGCTGGTTGGCATCATCGATGGCAAGGTAGGCGGCCGCATCAATACCTGCGGTCCACCACTTAGGTGCTGCTTCCCATGACCGTCCTCAAGGAGAGAGGCTTTGTTGTGGAATCCCTCGGATCTGAATTCGCCCCTTCCAGGCCTAGTTGCATAGTCGTCCTCGGAAGAGGAACGACATGGGAGGAGGGATGCACGGCCGAGGATGAGGGCCTCGGGTGTGGGGAAGCAGAAAGAGCATGTGCCACATTGGTAGGTGCATAGTCGATGTTGGTGTGGGTTAGGGTTTAGGGCCATGAATGACATCTTGGCAAGCAGAAAAGCATGTGCCACATTGGTCGGTGCATAGTCGATGTTGTTGTGGGTTAGGGTTTAGGGCCATGAATGACATCTGGGCAAGCAGAAGAGCATGTGCCACATTGGACGGTGCATGACTAGTTGATGTTGGTGTGGGTCAGGCCGTTAGGGTTTACGGCCATGAATGACATCTAGTTAAGCATTGTAAGAAAATATAGCACGGCCAATGCCATCTGCTTAAGCATTGCAAGAAAATATAGCACGGCCATGTGACTATTTACAAATTTTCTAAGTATAATGATATCCATTATCTCAGGATTTTTTTTCCCTTTTGTAAATTTGCCATGTGATGACTGCAACATTTTCAAAATTTGCCATGCTCTAGAGAAACATTTCCCCCCTTAATTTGCCATGTGACTATTAAAAAAATCTAAATCGTTGCCATGATTTTAGGAAACACAATTTGTGCCATGTGATCAGTATAAACATTTCAAACTTTACCATGTTCTAGAGAACAAATTTTCTTAAATTTTGCCATGTGAATATCTTACATTTTTTCCTAAATCTTGCTATGATTTAGGAATTAAAATTATCTCAATTTTTAAGCTAACACTGCAAACCTTTCCAAGTTTACCATTTTTTAGAGAACAAAATTTCTTAAATTTCACGTCTGACTAATCTTTTCAACAAAATTTGTAAATCTTACCATGGTTTAGTAGTTGAAAATATCTCAATTTCCATGTGACCATGTCAACTCATTTGATTGTTTCTATTTTTTTCCTATTTATTCCCCTACATTGTGGGAACTTCCGAACTTGTTTGTGTGCAAGAATTTATACACATGCAATCTTCGACTTGTAGTGTCTTTTCTCCTAGATCATGACAAACTTTTGTTTTCCTGTGACAGCTTTATACATATGTTAACGAACTGTTTTACATGGTACATTTATGCTCTCTATCACAGTAAATTTATACTCTCTCTGTCCCATAATGTAAGAACGTTTTCCAAACTATGCGAGCTTGAAAAATGTTCTTATGTTTGGGACGGAGGGAGTATTTTACAACATGGCAACCTCCTTCTATCCATATGTCTCGAAAAATTGCCATGCTTTTATACCATTAGGGGGGAGGGGGGGGTGTTTCCTCTTGGTTTTCTTCTACTCTCGGCAACTTTTTGGATATGTTTTGTATATAATTTGTCATGTCATAATAGTAACCATTGATTTTCTTAAATAGTGGGTCACAATAACTCTTACCAAAAAGGCACTACGCCCTGCTTTATAAGTAAAGTCCATAAGGATACAATCAACCGAAACCAGAAGTTCATAAACATACAACAAGGTTCAAAATAAATGTACGAAAAGCACGTGCTGCAGGCACAAAAGAATAAGCCCACAATCGCTAACTTAAGTATCAAGGAGGATAAATGACCATGAGTAACAGGGTCGTCACCTACTCCTTGTGCTTCCTGGTCAGGTTGTGGATAGCAGCCTTATCACGTCATTTGCTTGGGTCTTAGTAACTCTTATCTTTCATGTGAACGAGGAGGTAAAAGCGACCATGTTATATTTAGTTATGGTTTGTATATAGTCATGTCGTAATGGTAATTTCATATGTTCTTTTATCTAGTTGTCATAATACTGTGATTTTTAGATTTTTTTTAGAAAAATACTACGATTTTTACATCTGCATTTTTATTGGCCAAAACAGCAGTCACTTTTGGTCCAACGGGTTGGGCATGTCTTTTCTGTTTCGTTCGTGCAGAAAGGTCATTGATAGCAAACACCTGGAGAGAACATCATCATTCTCTCATTCCATGCTACCTGAGACCCTTCCTAGTGCTCCATGATGTGCAGGTGGTAAAGCTGCCACATATGAAAAAAAATGATGTGACAAAGCGATTAAAAAGAAAAGAGCATTATGCTGACTTCAGAAAGAAACTTTGCTAAGTGCGTGGGTCTAAACAAAATGACTATCAACTATACCTGGCCATAGCCAGTCCGGCCCAAACGGCCGGACCGAAAAAGCCCGACCTGGCCCCAGCACGACGCTGCTCTCGGGCCAGGCCCAGGCCTAGATTTTGAGCCCGAAGGCCGGGCCAGGCCCGGGCCTAGGCCCATAGTTTTTGTGATTTACCGAAGAGGCCCAACCCGAGGCCTGGCGGGCTTTTACACTTGCGGGCCGGGCTTGGGCCTAATTTTTTAGGCCCGATGCCCTGGTCGGGCCGACCCGGACCTGGGTTTTCTGCGTCGGGCTTGACCAGGTATACTACCCACCAATACATGAAGGTCTTTAGGTGTTAAAATATTAAATGAAGAAGACTTAGCTACAAAAGCTAAGCACCACAACGAAAAGATTAGTTGCTAAGCTTTTTACTGCATTTAGCATCTTAACTTAGCACCAATGCATATCGTTCCCTCGGAAACCTCTTGAGATAACATTCCCCCATATTGGCATCCAAAACATGGATATGCAGTTTTTGTACCTGAGGTAAGAAAAGGTACTATTTAAAAAAACATTTTTTCTACTAAACATTGATGGATATTTAAACTGCATGATAAATTGCTCTTGAAAAAAAACTGCACGATAAATGTGCAGTTGAAATATTCATCAATGTTTATAAAAAATAATCAGAATTTACTTTTTAATTTCTTATTATTTGTTTTGAAGTTTTACTGTTCGTAAGGGAGCATGTAAGCTCAAAATCAAAAGAGCATTTTTGCCATGAAAACAAAAAAAGTGTATAATAGTGCTTGCTTTTGGCAGAATATAAACAGAAATGCACCAAAGTGAACAAGCACCCGGTGCTCTAGAAATTCCAAACTGCCGGATGCTGTATACGGAGTCCGTAGGGCTAGTCCATGCATGCCTGGTCTCCCCCCGACCGGGCGCCAAACAAGAGCTGGCATGACAAGGAGTGCTCCACGACCACCACCCTACGTGACGTGGCGACCCAACGACAATGCAGGACAACGCAGGTGTCCTAGCTCCTTCCGGTCACTTCCTGGTTCTCGGAGATAACCATGCCCTACGCCCGTCGCAGGCATGCGCCCATGCGCGCTCGCACGTGTCGCCCCACAAGAGACTCGCATGGCGCGCGCCGACACATCAGAGGCACACGCGCCGGCACTCCGCGCCGTGACGCGCCCTCCTCCGCCGCTATAAAAGGGCCACGCCGGTGCCTCATGCCCTCATCCTTCATCAGCATCAGGCAATCACCAACACCTTACAAGCAGTCACACAACGTTTCCCAGCTGAGGTTGTGGTAGCAAGGCAGAGAGAGCAATGGCTTCCGGCCAGCAGGAGAGGTCGCAGCTGGACCGCAAGGCCCGCGAGGGCGAGACCGTCGTCCCCGGCGGCACCGGCGGGAAGTCCCTCGAGGCGCAGCAGAACCTCGCCGAAGGTACGTGCATGCGTGAGAAATGTCGTTGTACTATACTCGAGCGATCTGTGGCTTCCAATACTGATTGCTAGTATTGCTGTATTTGTGCAGGGCGCAGCCGTGGCGGGCAGACTCGCAGGGAGCAGATGGGGGAGGAGGGGTACAGCGAGATGGGTCGCAAGGGCGGGCTGAGCACCAACGACGAGTCCGGCGGCGAGCGCGCGGCCAGGGAGGGCATCGACATCGACGAGTCCAAGTTCAAGACCAAGTCCTAGATGATCCGTTAGCCTAGCAAGCAAGATGACTCTGCTTAGGTCGGCTGTTGGTTTGCCCTAGCGTCCACGTACCGAATAATGTAGTTCAGGCGCACGTAGGCGATCGTACGTAGTATGATCATGTGTGCTTCGAACCGGTAGTCCGTAGCTACTCTACGGTGAGTAGCGTCAGGTCAAGTCGGAAGCTGTGGCTTGGTCAGGTGGCTGGTCTGCCTCTGGGCCCAGGAGTGTCTGCAGTGTCCACTGTATCCTTGCTTCTTCAGTAATGTATGTCGTCTTGCTCAAATATGTCTTGTCTCGTCTGATCTGTGTTGATTCCTGGTGCTACTGGGTGTAGACCTTGTTGCTCGTAGAGCTATCACCGGCTCATAGAACACCATGAGCAGTCGCTGACTGCCAAACCATGCATGAACGTGTAACTTCATGGCTTTGCTCCGCACCTGCGTCTATACATTTGACACGAAAGATGAAATACCAGAGCAGAACGATCGATCTCTCAGACATGACCCAGATGCGGGGAGCACTTGATCAAGTCCGAGCGTTTCCGATCCCTGCCTGTCATGTCGCGGTTATCGCTTGCTGTTGGTAGTGGGGGTGATCAAGGGGGAGCCGTTGAGGATCCTGCCCACCCGAAGCTTTCCAACGGCGGCGCGATCGTGGACTTCAGGCCATCTGGGAATTTTGCAGGTTTTCAGAGGGCGGTTCCAAGCAATGGCAATGGACTGTCGGAGGAAGATGGTCTACCAGTTGGAGAGGATGCGCACATCGGGGATGAAGCGGACATGGACGACGTTGCGTTTGTTGCAGTGGACTTTTAGGAGGAGGATGAAAACATCGAGCCGGGTTGGAAGCTGATGAGCCTATACAGATCACAGAAACGGCCAAGCGCGAAGACGCTGTCGGATCACTTTGAGAAAATTTGGCAGCTACGTACAGGAGTTGAGTTTAAGCCCGTACAGAAAAATTACTTTGTGGTCTTTTTTCTCTGAAGGAGACTACAGATTCGTTGCTAGGGGAGGGCCATGGATATATGATGGAGATGCTTTGTTGTCAGGATGTAAATGGTCAGTCCGCTGATGTTGTGGGACTGCCCGCACTGGCCACAACTTTTTATGTGGGATTACGCGGGAGCCCAGTTAATTTTCATGCGGGGCATGTGGTGTTTCATGCGGGGCATGTGGTGTCTACATACTGCCGCATATATTTACAAAGCTTAAACTGGAACTTCCACACTGACATACAAAGCATGTGGCGTCTGGAAGTATATACATATGTACAAAAAGTATGACAAAAACAAATGGCAGTAGATACAAAGTGAAAATGGATAATATTAGCCCACATTGACATAACGATCGCTACTAATTATCACTAGTGAGTTCGAGCTTCATTTAGTAGTCGCCTCTAGAATAACAAAATCCACAAAGCAGCGGCAACTTAACTAAAAACACCTATCAAAGCAGCAGAAATATTTCCTGTATGTGAACAAAAAGGAATATGCAACACACTCCCCATCCTTCATATCCCAAAATTAACAGAAAGCACCTAGAGTCCTAGACTCAAAACGGCACCAAATAATAAAACTTATCAGCTAAGAGCATCTTTCATTCTTCTGTCAGCTTTCACAAAGCTATGCTCACTGGTCTTTCACTTGATTAATCGGAATCAGAATGGTCCCAGGATTGGCCTCATCTTCGGTCCACTCAACTGATTTTTTCTCCAGAAACATCTCAACCTGCGGTCATTCAAGTTTATTAATAAGTTATATAAGATATACAGTACTATCTACATGAAAAAGAAACAAGGATAAGAAGTAAGCAGGGTTCCTTAAATCATAAGCATACACCAGTGTGTATTTCCCTTCCCTAAAATGATTGTTAATCAACATTGTCGAGGAGAGAAGCAAAACCATCAAGGATAAAAAGTGCAGATAGCTAGCACCACAATCTTTAAAAAATGCAGATAGCTAGCAACAAATTCACAATAGGCAATGATCTTAAATTAATATTCTAACCAATAAGAGTCCTTAATGAGTATTATTGCGACCAGATCTTGATAGCATAATTGCAAGGATGATAAATACATACAAGTTAGCAGCATACACAATTTATACTCAGAGCGCAACTCGAAACTATGGACGTAAAAGAAACCAGATTTAACTCAAATGCTCCCCAAATTTACCCAAAGCTTGCTACAATTGAACAATTGATTAGCAATATTATGTAGTGCACACATACCTCAGTTAATAGTAGTGACCTTGATCAGGAGTATTGGCATGCTTACCATTACATCTAAACCAATCTTGAAGGCAGATTAAGGCTTTCACTGTCTCGCTGCACAATCTACTTCTGTAATCGCTGATCAAATGCTTTTCGGTATTGAAAGCCGACTCTGACGATACGACGGAAGCTTGTACAACAAGAACATCACAAGCTATACAAGAAAGGATGGGATACTTAGACGAGTGAAGATGCCACCATTGAAGAATGTTGAATCCTCCGTGCGAGTGAATGTGTCTTCTTCTAAGTATCTGGCAAGCTCACTAGTAGTTTGGCGTTGCTTCTTATTCAAGTGTTGGTCCCAATCCGCCAACGGATCATTCTCTTCATTCACAACCTCATCAAATTTTGTCGGGGTGCTGACTCATCCAATGCATCCGTCATTTGTGAAGAATATTCTTCGAAAAGGTTGTCAAGAACTTCTTTCACTGTAAGCAAGAGTCTTTCTACATCTGGACAAAAAGCTTGTTTTAGTCGAAACTCGATGAAGCAAAGTTTAAATCGTGGACCAAGGATCACAGGAATACAGTTTGGCAAATATGATTCCATCCAATACTTATCAAACTTTTTTTGCATCTCTCCAACCATTGCTCGAACGACTTCATCCTTTGTTGAAGCTTCCTTCCGCAGCAATAACCTCACATTCCAGATTTGATGAAAGTACAAATTTGAGGTAGAATAACTTGAACCAGAAAGTACATTGGTTTGAAATCCCTCCAAACAGCAGAAGTTAGCCTTCTTGTCTTGCAGACTGTTAATTGGCAAGCAAATAAAATGTCAACTCACAAGAACATTTTAAACTTGTAACTACATACAAGTGTAATTACAAAAGAGAAAAAACAAAGCCAACTCACCATGTGGATGATTAATTTTTGAGCCTCCAAATGGAGTAGTCACTGGAGAAGGGGATCCTAAGATAGATGGTGATCTCGCGGACGAATTTGCCCTCTCCTCCAATGGGGAACTTGCAATCCTCGTTGAGGGAGACCTGCCCCTTTTTGAGGATGCAACTCTTGCTAGAAGACCAAGGGAAGATCTCCACGTGCTCGCCACCGGTGACCTTACCAATGGTGATCTTGTCGCTCTTTGACTATGTGTCATAGGTGGAGAATCTCGTCTCTAGATAACAAAACACAGAAAGTTCAGAACATGCTATCAATTTCAAGAAGGTATAAAAGCAGATTTGTGGTGTAGAGTGAGGTTTAATAGAGAAATCTGGCAAGAAAAATGACCTGTAGCTCCTCTGTTGTAGCTCCTTGAACAAATTCAGAACAGTTCATTGAACGAGCATGTTTCCTCTTCCCCTGCAACTCCTCCTCCTCCTGCAACTCCTCCTCCTGGTTTTTCCTCTTCTTCTCTTGCTTCTTCCTCTTCTCTTTCCTCTTCTCTTTCCTCTTCTCTTCCAGGCTTTTCTTTCTCGTCTTATGCCTTCGTTTTTCCTTCCGCCTTTCTAATCAGTAACGCAAACATAGGGGGTCAAAAAAATATATCAAAGAATACAAGTAATGTCACGGGGAAACACATGAGGGCCAGATACTTACTTCTGTTCCTCATCGATAGCATTCCACACATGTTGTTCCTGCTCCATGGCTTCCCACTTTTCAGCTTGCTTGTCGATCGTCAACACCATTTGGTCATCGACATCACCCATGGTAACTTCCATCAAATCTGCATTGAATGTCCAATGAATGCTAAATTTAACTAGCAATCAGAACAAATGGACGCAACCGTAGAATTGTTCTATTTGCTTTCTTCAGACACAATACAAGATTTCACCATTAACACACAAATTTAGCATACACCGAACTCCTATAGCGAGTAGTTACAGAGACATTCTAATTCTGACCGCCAGAGCAAGATATGCTTTGATATTTTTACAATTAATATCTGGAAATACAAGAATGATTACAATTAATATTCACATGCCAGTGTGATATGTATTGTACAACTTGTTTAGAATTCAGAGGGATGTTTTTACAGGTGCAATGCTCTTGCAACTAGTTTCGTACGAATCACAACGACGTTTTGCTAGCTGCTCCTCTGACTAATTCCTTTTTATAGACCATTCTACCTACTCCAAATAATTTCTCGGTTCATGCATTGATTGTTCTGCAAAAACATGCATCGGGATACCTGTGGCAGCGTGAGGAAGCTTTCATTCAAATCATCAAATGATCGCCAGAATCCGCATGCTATATGGAAATACCCTGTAATGTACTTGTCTGTACACTCTTGATAAAGTCAATGACCACCACACCCCCTGCCTTGGTCCCCATAATCCAGAAATATATGGACAGCAGTAAGTAACGAATGCTAATCTACTAGAAGATTGTACAGTAGTATCGGGCAAAGATAACCAAGAACCATCTAATTCGTCACTTGGAGTAGTACGTGTATAGTCGTGTTTGCATTGCCCACTCATCACTACACAGCCAAATTAGAGTAGTGCATAGCTTGGCACTGTCCGCATCTGTACTAGGATCTTTTGGTCCTTCGATCTTAACTAAGTACCACTAAATAGTCTTTGATTGTGTTGTTCCTCTGATATACAGAGAGATTCTAATTCTGACCGCGAGAGCAAGAGATTCGTACGAAACTAGTTGCAAGAGCATTGCACCTGTAAAAACATCCCTCTGAATTCTAAACAAGTTATACAATACGTATCACACTGGCATGTGGATATTAATTTACGGTTCATAACAATATATCAATTAACAAAGTTGC